ACAATATTTTAATCTGACTTATAAAGCACTTTTGAGCAAGCAAATGCTATAATCTTTCGCATTTACCTGCCATTTGCTCCTCATCTCAGCTTTCTCCTCAAAGAGCCCTGAGATACACATACTCCACATACTCAGAGTTACCATGGGAATTATCTGTGTGGTATATGTCATGCACAAATAATCCCTAAGCAGGAAATACTGCATTTTATGGTAGGTCTTCCTGTAATCATACTTCACAGGTAGCCAAAATTTCAAGCCCTCACTCCAAAGGAAAAGCATGTCAAAGTTGAAAGAAACATCATAGGGCAGCCCGGGTGCCTCAGCAGTTTGGTGCTGCCTTCAGCTCAGGGCCTGATCCTAGAGACCCGGGATCAAGTCCCATGTCGGGCTCCCTGCATGGAGCCTGCTTCTCCCTCTGCCCTGTCTCTGCTTCTCTCTCTCTCTCTCATGAATAAATGAATAAAATGAAAGAAAGGAAGAAAGAGAGAAAGAGAGAGAAAGGAAGGGAGGAAGGGAGGGAGGAAGGGAGGAAGGGAGGAAGGGAGGAAGGGAGGAAGGGAGGAAGGAAGGAAGGAAGGAAGGAAGGAAGGAAGGAAGGAAGGAAGATAGATCACAGCCTCCTGTGTGGTTTACCACTTTACTTGTTTAAATCCAACAACTGGGCAGCCCGGGTTGGCTCAGCGGTTTAGCACCGCCTTCAGCCCAGCGCCTGATCCTGGAGACCTGGGATCAAATCCCACATTAGGCTCCGTGCGTGGTGCCTGCTTCTCCCCCTGCCTGTGTCTCTGCCTCTCTCTCTCTCTCTCTCTCTCTCTCTCTCTCTCTGTGTGTGTGTCTCTCATGAAAAAATAAATAAAATCTTAAAAAAAAAAAATCCAACAACTACCTGTTGTACTCATCTACCATGAGGTGTTTTGTTTTGTTTTTTAATGTAATATAGTTGGAGGAAATCATCTAGTATGTGGTAATAGAACAGTCTCTATTATAGCAGAGAATGTACTTCCATGGACCTGAAATGACTGAAGCTCTAGAAGAAAATGGCCAATTCCAAAGAGGTCTGTGCATTGCAGAATGCTGGAGGGAACCAACAAAGACCAGGAGAGGACTGCCAGAGGTGGATGAAGCAGCCCAGAAAGTTGGACAAATAGTTACTTGCACTACACAATTAGGTGTGCAGGGGCTCTTTTCGCATGCAGGATGGACCATAGGCGCATCCTGTGTCACAGGCAGTGCCACCTGCTGTGCTTTAATGGAAGACCCCTGTGCAATCCTGTAACCACATTCTGTCCCTACAGAATGCTACCTGAATTTGACCCCAAAGCATCTCAGTATTATACCAGTCAATTTACCCAGATTGCCGTTCACTGAAATTCTTCCTTCCTTGTTTACTGCTTTATGACAATTAGGTACCACATCTTCAGAATGAGGAGATAGAGCACAGATTTCTGTTGTTTTTAAGGAATTTTTAAAGGCTAACAAGAGACATCCCAACTTATGCCCCCAAATAATGCTCTCCACATACCCAATGCCACAGAAAAAAACTACTGGTAGGACAGTTTGCCTTCTAGAAGTTCACAGCCAAGTCAGGCATTTGAGACTCAGGACCAAATTTTCCTACCCAAACAATGTGTCGAAACTGCGGCTGGGTTCTAAAGCAGCTCACAATCAGCAACTTAACCCAATGTTCCTGAGATAGAACTGCACACTCTGGGGGCATCCACCCAGCAGGGCCAGGGAAGGCATGGAGGGTGTCGATATTGGTTATTAAGAATCAACGGACCCTGCAGAGCTATGATCCTTTAAAAGATTTAAAATCATGGTTGGGGCGGCCTGGGTGGCTCAGCGGTTTAGCGCCACCTTCAGCCCAGGGCCTGATCCTGGAGACCCAGAATAGAGTCTCACGGCAGGCTCCCTGCATGGAGCCTGCTTCTCCCCCTGCCTGTGTCTCTGCCTCTCTCTCTCTGTGCCTTTCATTAATAAATACATAAAATCTTTAATAATAAATAATAAATAATTAATTAATAATTAATTTAATTAAATCATGGATCGTTGTGGAAAAAAGCAAAGGAGCAAAATAATTTTCCACAAAAATGGATAGCAAATGGGAACCACTTTTCAAGGAGTAGGGAAAGGCAATCTGTGGTGGGCAGTCTCTAAAGTGGCCCCATGATCCACTCCTGGTGTGTCCGTGAGTGTGTGTGGGAACTGGGACTTGCTTCCAGTCAACAAAACATGGCAAAGGTGCTGGATGTCACTCCATGGTTGTTATGTCACACACGACCCCATCTTGTTAGCAGCCTCTCCTTGACAGTTTCATGAACCAAGCAGCCACACTGGGAAAACCCATGTGGCAAAGAATGTGGCCTCCAGGTCAGCCAGCAAGAGGCCAGGGCCCCCAGTCTTACAGTCATGAGAAAGTGGCAACCTGAGAGAGCTTAGAAGCAGATTCTCCCCCAGCCATGCCTCCATATAAAAGCCAAACCCTAGTCAACACCTTGTCTGAAGCCTCATGAGCCAAGCTGTGCTCTGACTTCTGACCATGGAACGTTGAAACAATAGATGTGTGTTGTTTTGGTCTCAAGGTTTGCAGTGATTTGTTAGGCAGTGACACCGCACTCCCCCATGGTCCAGTCACAAGATAGTGAGTGAGTCTGCATTCATTCTCTCTTTAAACCTTCAAGGAGCTAAAACCCGGAGCTCAACATTTCTTTAGCTGTCTGTTTTAATAGTGGAGTTAACCTCTTCTTGACCTGAAACTATTTTTTCTTGATTAAGTCTGAATGACCTGAAAGCAATTTCCTCCTCTGTTAGAATGGCATGCATTAAATGACTATTATTTGATTTTTCACAAAACTGCATGTCGGCCCTGTGCCACTCTCCTGGGAGTTATGGGAGCTGCAAAGATAAGCAATGTACTGACCCTGTGCTCAGCGTGCACACAGCCTGGGAAGGAAGACGAAAGCAACCATCCATCCATTCAACAAATATTTGCCTTAAGCCTACCTTATTCCTCCCCACCCTTCTAGGTGCTGATGAAACAGCAGGGAAGGGAACCAAGCTGCCCACCCTGTGGGCAGGAAGACGATGACTTGATAAACCAAAGAGCACAAACAAGTGTGGGGGGAGACCAAAAGGCCTCAAGAGGGTGCACCACTCTGTCACCATCTGGCACCTGGTCCGAATACCCTCTTCACTAGAGAAGGGACAACCTCATGGTGGTTTCCAACAGGCTGTGAATTCTCCTGACATGTGCCCAAGGGCCTAAGAACCATCAATGGCTTCCCCACACATTTTGTCACAGCATCCTGATCGCGAAAAACAGATTTGATATAGACTTTTTACTTGGAGATGAACACTCAGCACCGCCCCCACCACCACCACCAACGCAAGAAGCTCTGGTATTAGGTAACAGGAAACAGTTCTAAAATAGTCTGTTAAGACAGCGGAGACATATCTGACCATTGCAGGAAGAGGAGGAAGAATGCAAAATGAATTCACTCTGCATTTAGCATTTATTTATTTTACTAAATAAACTCTGAAGGGAGAAGGAAAGAAAAGGACGTTGGAGGTTCACAATGGCTTCTGGCACCGCACGGGATATCCTCCCACGTCCCTGCCAGCAAGGATCCGGTTTGACCGTCTTTGGGAAAGCGCACCTGGTAACTCTGCACCTCTGTTTCTGACCTTGACAAGGTCGTAACAGCCTCATAAACAAGAGGCAAGCCTCTCTATGAAGTGGGAGCCATGGGGAGCCCACCCCCTCCTTCTTATTTCAAGGCCACCTGCCCAGATGCTTTCCTGTGGCAAAGATCATGGGCCACATCCCGCACAAAGTCCCTCTGATGAAGGAGGACCCTGATTATGTGTGCATTCTTAATATAGTTATATTTGGAACTAAGAAGTTGAATGGCCCCAAAGGACCGTAAGAATGTGAGATGGAGAGAGAAAAGTCAGGTGAGGTTATTATCTTATAAACATGTATGCCTGAAAAAACTTTACCTTTTTTTCTTTGTGATGCATAAAATAAGGACAATAACAGTGAACTACCTACACTCACTGAACTTGTTACTTTAATAAAAAAAAATAACTGGAGCAATAGTTTTCAACTATTTTGATGGTGGAACCCTTCTTTCCCAAACCACTATCTTATGCCAAACCCAAATATAAGAATCAGATAAAACTGGAGCCACCGTGACACAGAGAGATGGGAGACAGCACACCCCTGCTAGTGAGCCTGGCCCTCCCTGCCTTCCCTGCCTGGTTCCTCACTCCCCTCAGGCCCCTGGGGCTCCAAGGACCGGCTGGGAATACACAGACCTACAGTGGATCACTACGACATCCAAACCCAAATCCAAATAAGCTATGGGAGAATCCTGAAGTAAAAAAGACAAAAGCCGAGGAATGAGGTGATAGGAGGAGGAGGAAAAGCTTGAGAGCAGCAAGGAAACTGGAGCCCACCCTTGACAGTGGGAAGTGCAAAGGCTCCAAAAGTCAAAGGCAGAACCGCAGCACAATGCACCAGTGCTACTGTGTGGCCCTCCAGCACAGACAGGCCAGGGGCCATGGTTCAGAGCGGAGCTCCCCCAAGCACTGCACACTGTGCTGCATCCTGGCATCTATGCTAGGAGCGAGGGGCAGGCTTTGACAGATCCTCCCTCCACGGTGGGCCCTGTGGCCTCTGTTTGGAAGCCTTGCCATCTGGAGGATTTCAAGTTCTCTATGAAGGAAATGTAGAAATTCAATAAAATCAACAAAGTGAAGAGGCACATCTGTTTTCTGTTGAGTGGATGGGCCCGAAGAGCTAGGTAACTCTGAAAAGGCAGAGTGGTTATAAGCTTTAAAAGATGATGACGTAAAAAAAAAAAAAGATGATGACCTAAGGTATAGTTGTCAGTTAAACTACAGAATCAACAACCAACAGAAGGAGTAAATGGACAATACATTCTAGCGCCCAAGAGTGCCCAAGAGATCCTGCTGAGGTGCAGATGGGCAGGCTGTACCTGGAATGGGACGTGAGAACTCGTCACCTTGTCACCTGAGGATCACCTGGGTCCTGGAGCAAAGATGTCTCAGGAGGGGCGAGATGACAGCTTCTGGCCCCTGGAAAGCAAAGAAATGATATTAGGCCCCATCCATTTGGTTTCCAGAAATTCCACACCTGTAGCTGCAACAACAGGAAGGGATGATTCCATCCAGCTCAGCATCAGGAAGGACACCCCACCTTCTGAAGATGAATGGCATAAGTGGCTGGGAAGGTGAGGGTCCCACCACAGGGACTGAGCGGGCATGCAGCAAAGTACCAGGCAGGGAATAAGACAGGAAGCTGGATGAGGTAGCCTCTTAAATCAGAGAGCCTACCACATTACCTTCACCAATGGTGATCACATCTCAAACAAGAATAGTATCAAAGCATCACCCAGGCAGGCAACCACCATAGATCTAGGGCACAGAGATGGGTGAGTAAAAGCTCTGAGGCCCTCACCAGGAGCCAAGAGGGGAGTGAATCCCTCCCTGACAATGGCATTGAGAACTGAGAACAGCAGGGGGCAGAAAGCTTTAGCTGAGTCCTTTGGGAAACAGTTGGGACACCATCTGTGAATGGCCATTTTGCAACAGACTCTCCTGGACCAGCTGCTAGGTGGACACAAGTGTCCACCTGTCCTGTCGACATCAGGATGGGCCAGGGTGTTCTAAATTCAGGAGGTGTGCTGTCCTGTCGAGCCTGGTGGAGTAGCCTGCAGTCCCAGAAGGAATGGGATCTAGTAACTAGAGTCGCCACTATCTGAAAGCGGGAGCAGTCACCTTCACTGAGTCCATCCTAGGAAGAAGCTCCTTGATGAGCAACATATAAAGTTCTTTATTTCCTTGATCTTACCATTTCTACTTCGCACATGCTCACGTGCTCACCCAGGAGCTGGAGAGGTTTAATTAAGCCTCCTGAATATAATCTGCACTAATGTGAACCCAGAGAGGATTATCATTATGCCAAAGACGCACATGAAGATGCTAATCAGAGTTTTATAACTTGAATAGCAGCAAACCAGATTCCCAACAACTGAAATCCTACTCTGTTCTGGCCTATAGCTTTCATTCATTTTACATCAACACTTCGTTCTTCTCCAATTTCTATTTCAAAAACATCCAAACCTACAGAAAAGTTAAGTGAACATTTACAAAGTCTTCATCTACATATACCAATATTCAACATTTTCCATATTTGCTTTATCTTTATATAAATATAAGCTTTTCTCACAAGCCATTTGGTAGTGAGCTCTAATTGCTATCACAACACTTGACCTCTAAGTATTTTGGTAACTCCTAAGAGTGATACTCTCCTACAGAATTTTTTTTTTAAGATTTTATTTATTTATTCAAAGACACAGAGAGAGAGCCAGAGGCAGAGACACAGGCAGAGGGAGAAGCAAGCTCCATGCAGGGAGCCTGATGTGGGACTCGATCCCAGGTCTCCAGGATCACACCCTGGACTGAAGGTGGCACTAAACCACTGAGCCACCCGAGCTGCCTTCTCCTACAGAACTATAACGCCATTATCACACCAAAGAAACTGAACATTCATTCAATAGCATCAAAACATAGCCCATAACCAAATGTCCAAAATTAACATCATATTGCTCATTCTCTATCATGTGCCAAGCGCCACAAGGGCACTGAGAGGGCCATAGTCCAATATGGAAGACCGACATACAAATGCATTACTGTGCTAAGGTGGTGTAGCTCATATGAGTCTGTCTCTGTAGAAGAGAAAGTAGCTGGCTCCACCTGGAGACTTGAGAAAAGCGTTATGCAATAACTGGTATTTAGAGAACAAACCTAGCCAATATAAACAGAGTAGGAAGTGAATGTGAAAACAGAGAGGCTTGAATGTGACAGCCAGAATACTGCCACCCTCCAAAAAATGTCCAAATCCCAATCTCAGGAACTTGTGAATATGTTAGGTTACATGGCAAAGAGGAATTAAGGTTGCAAAAGGAATAAAGGTGCTAATCAGCTGAACTTGAGATAGGAAGATTTTCCTGTGTGAGTCTGATGGAATCACGAAGGTCCATACAAGATGGAAGAGGGTGCAGGAGAGTCAGTGTCAGAGAGATGCAATATAAGAGAGACCCCATCAGCCATCGCTGGCTTTGAATATGTCAGGGGACCAAGAGTCAAGGAAGGCAGGCAGCCTCTAGAAGCTGGGAAGGACAAGGAACGAGATTCTTTCTCAAGAGTCTTAAGAATGGCAAGCACATCCTTGCCAACACCTTGACTTGAGCCTGGTGAGACCTATTTTGGACTTCTGACCTCTATCCAGAACTGTAAGACAATAAATGTGTGTGGTTTTAAGCCAATGATAAAACAAAAATAAAACTGTAGAGGCTGGAAACAAGGCTGGAAACTGTCAAAGTGCTGGGAGATGGGGGCAAAGTCATCCAAGTCCTGTGGCCAAGCCAAGAAAACCTGCTTTATCCTTTGGGGAAGGGAGAGACAGCCAAGAGCCATGATTGAATCAGTGTCTTAGGATGAAAACTCTGGAATAAAAGGAGCAGAATCTAGAAGGAAAACAACTGACAATGTTTGCTGCCAATGAAAAAATTTGAACTTTCAAACAAAAAAAAAAAAAAATTAGAATTTTGGAAAATTTGCATCCATCACTCAGAACTAGGAAGTTTCCCAAAACTTAAAAAGTTTTCTGATGACACTGGTGGTGATAATAACAAATTTTTAGAAAACAATTACATGATAAAATCTGTCAACATTTAGAAGATCTCATAATTACTATCATAAGATAGTAATTCACTGAAACAGAATCATACATGGACAAACGATTGATTCAAAGTACAAAGTGGAATTTTTTTAAAAGTACAAAACAAACTTATTTTCATTTTCTTTTTTTTTTTTTTAATTTTTTAATTTATTTATGATAGTCACAGAGAGAGAGAGAGAGAAAGAGAGGCAGAGACATAGGCAGAGGGAGAAGCAGGCTCCATGCACCGGGAGCCTAATGTGGGATTCGATCCCGGGTCTCCAGGATCGCGCCCTGGGCCAAAGGCAGGCGCCAAACCGCTGCGCCACCCAGGGATCCCCAGACAAACTTATTTTCAAATACAAAAAGCCCATGGATATGGCTTCACATTCTACTGTGGCACTAACTACCTCCTTTCAAGGTTTTGTGCAGTATCAAAGAAGACCCATAATTATCCAAAAAGGCTACTAAAGGACTTCTCCTTTTCCAAGCACCCATTTGAGGCTGCATTTTCTTTACATATTTCAACTAAAACAATACATAAACCAACTGATGCATAATCAGACTAAGAATCAAGTTGCCTCCGATCAAGCTGAACATTAAAGAGATTTATAAATATATAAAACAATACTAGTCATTAACTTTTTGTTGTTTTAGAAACTAGTTATTTTCCATAAAAATGTTACATTAACATGAAATGGTTTATTGTTATTTTTAGATGGATTAGTACATAAATATTTGAAGTTCTAAATTTTAATTTGTAATATAATAAACATTGATTAGCAAACTCCTTCACGTCCTCAATAGGCTGTAATCACCAAGTACAAGGGGGTTCTGAGACCAAGCAGTTTGAGAAACGCTGCTTTACGGACTTATCCAGTCCAATGAACACGGCCAAGCTGGATGTGTACTCACATCACAAAAGCTGTTCTCCTGCTTCTTTGGGCATGAAAGCCTACCCTGCTCACATTTTCCTGTCATGGTATACAAGCAGTTAACGCTCAACTTAGAAGTCCTGAAGAAAAGAATACCATACATTAATCCAGCCTGAACTCATCAGGATTAATGGGATTGGAATGCATAGCGAATAAATTCATGAGCACTGCTTTTCTTTAATCCAAGAATGTTCCAGCCGATTTATTCTATTTCTACAGATTTGACAATTCACTTTTTAAAAAGAAAGAGTCATGAGAATGCTACATACACTTCACACTTTAAGAATTCAATTTCATTTATTTTGTAAATACGGCAAGCAGCATTTCAATACCACATCTGACAAGCTGGACTGTAAAGGTGCGGTGAGGATGCCAGGTGGCTCTGTGTAATGGGGGACACCCGGCCCACTGGCAAGAAGATATATACAAAATAATGTGAAAATATCAGCAGACGTATTTCCATTGGACAATTTAGACATCAAAAGGAATCAGATGTTTTCATTAAGTATATTGATGAGCCACTAAAATGTTTTCCCAGTAATTAAACATAAAGCCCAACTTTTTGGCAACTTAAACAGCGGCTTTGCCTGTAAAATGTGTTTTTATTCTGTTCCTCATTTCACAAATGTTTTGGGTGCCAGATATGGTTCCAGAAGTCAGGGATGCAGCAGTGACCTTATTGGACCAAAACCCCTGACTGCCTGGAGTTTATGTTCTATGACTGGAAACGCCTCTTTGAAAAATAAAAATGTTGGAAATATTAACTGGAGGAAGCACTCTTCTGATCTCCTAAAGCAATTCCATGAGATTATCCTACATTAAGATGAGCCGCAACTACCTAAGTATGTATTCCATCCCACTAGGAGGCCAGATGCAACAGTTACGGTAAGGAACAAAGCTCCAGGAAGCACAGTCTAAGGCAGCTAGGGGATTTCTGTTAGGTCTACTCACCCCAGTCAAGAGCTCTGGGAAGAACAGAGCTCCTTTGGGGTTGGCCGAGCACCTGTGGAACTGCCAAGGGCACATGAAGATGTCAGAACCCTGGAAGGAGAGCATTTGTAGTTTAAAAAAGGAAATCATAATTTTTTTCCTTGGCATGAATAGTTTTTGAATTTCAATGTAAGATTTTTGTTGGTTAAAAGGCAGCACAGGCTAAGAGGTTGCCAAGTAGTTACACGGAAATCACTTTTCTGTTCAGCGAAGAAATGGAGGATGGTATTAAAGCCTGAAGTACAGAAAAGAGACTGCAGTGTCCCTGGCACCAGTAGGGCAGGCCTCCAGGCATCATCGAAGGATCCAGCACTGTGCACACAGATTCTCAGACCTTCATCCCGTTTGGTGAGGGGCCTGCCGTGTGAGCACCGTAGGAATTGCATCATGAATACGATATCCCAGCGGCTGTGCTAAGAGGACCACAG